CACCAGGACCTGTAACTGGCCAGTTTATTTATCTGTTGACCAGTTTGTTATTGTCAGTCCCCTTGCGGCTCGCCCAAATGTTCTCCCCACGGGGACAAGGGTTCACTGGTATATCGCCATCACCCGGCCCGGAGCAGCCACGTTGAGTGGGTGCTGTTGCAAGCAGACACCCTGGCTCCGTTCACCACTGTCCACAATCTCTAGACCCTGCTACTTCCCTCGGTCTCAGAAGGGGCAGCAGACCGGCGGCCCCCACCCACCTTGGCGGTCTTGATGATCTCGGTGAAGTTGTCCATGATGGACTTGACATCATCCTTGAGCCGCTTGTTGTAAGACTGCAGCAGCGTCTCCTTGCTTTGCGGCAGGGCTCTCTGCTGGGCCATGGCGGGGCCTCGGGCACGGCAGGGGGCACCTGGGACCCAGAGTCTGGTGTGAGCGAGCGAACCCCCGCCTCCCACCCTCCAGGCCCCCGCCTCGGCAGGACCCGCAGCTCTCCGGGGATCCCCTGTCTGCCAAACACACTCGTCCAAGCATCCGCACACAGTGCACTGCGGCGTCTCCTCCGGCCCGCGCCCCTTCCCCGGAACCCCGACGACACCCTGATGGGCTCCGGCGCAGCCTTCTCAGAGGCCAGGCCCACGCACGTCCCCCACCTGCCCTGGCCAGCCGCTTCCCCGCCAGCACTTCTGCCCTACTCCTCACCCGAGGAGCCGCTCGGATCCTACCCCACCTCCTCCAAACGCACTTGGCCTTCACCCCCAATCCGCCGCCCTCGTCTCCACGCCGGGACACCCGGGAGCCACCCCACAGGACCTCTTGGGCTCCTGAGCTCCGGGATCTCTGCTGGGACCACCCTCCCGCCCCGCGCCAGGTGCCTCCGGGCTGCGCGTGCTCCGGTCCGGATGGCCTCCAGACCGAACTCGCGGTTCTTAAGCCACTTTGGAGTAAATCGCACGAGAAGATCGCCGACACCGCCGCCACGCCGCCACGCCGCCCCAACGCCCACACCTGGTCCGCAGAGCCGGGGACCGGCGGGTACCTGGCCAGGGCGGGCTGGGGACGAGCGCGCGCCCCTCCGGAGAAGTCCCGGCTCCCCGGCGCCTCTCCGCGCCCCTTTCCAAGCAGCTCAGACGCGTCGTCCGGCTCTAGGCACCGCCCGCCGGGCGGGAGAAAGTTCTGTCGCTTTAAATCCGAAATCCCGCACAGGCTTTAGTTCTCGCGATCTCCGAGGTCGCATACATATTACCCACAATTCCCTTTCCTTTCTTTCTCCGCCAACCGTTCAAGATGGTGAGTGTCGTTGGTGCCAGCCATGCTGGCTTTCGGATCCGGGCTCTATCCGCTGCCATCCTTCTCGAGGCGTGATTGCGCAGGGATCCCTCCACGGCCCAGCGCGAGAGGAGCCCAGCGGGGCCTCGCCTAGAGGCACTGGGGCCACGTAGACTCCTCGGCAGCCGGGCCTGGGGAGGAGGAGGATCCGGGGTGCGCAGCGTCGCCATGCGGGGTTCGAGGCTGACGGGGCTGAGGCGCTCCAGCGCCCCGTGGGCTCTTCCGTCCCGGGGGCCGCCTGGGGGCTTGGGCAGGGGGTTCTTTGTCTGCCTCTGCTGTTTGGAGCCCGCCGCACTCCGAAAGGGGCCGCGGGGCTGCCGAGGCTCGTGCAGATGATGTGAAAGAATATTTGCTATCTGAGTGATGGTGAGGACGTCCCTAACCACCAAGATCGCTGATGCACGAGCGGGGGGGCGGTCGCCGGGCTCGCGGCGCCTGCGGCTGGGGCCAGGTTTGCTCACGGGGATGTTGGGGCCGGCTCGGGACCCACTCCTCTTCAGAGAGCCGTTGGGGAGGCGGCGGTTGAACTGGGTGTTTCCTTTTGCCCAGCCGAAGGGAAAGAAGGCCAAGGGTAAGAAGGTGGCCCCGGCCCCCGCTGTGGTGAAGAAGCAGGAGGCCAAGAAGGTGGTCAACCCCTTGTTCGAGAAAAGGCCCAAGAATTTTGGCATTGGTGAGTAAGAGACGGGAAATGTTGAAAACGGCTGCTTAGATGGTATCCCCCAACGAAGAAAAGCGGCTGATTGAACAGAAGGTTATGTTTTGGTCTTGCTAGAATTCAGTGAGTTTGGAGTCGAGGCCACTTGGATGGGGATTTTCGCGTTTTGGCCGCTTTTTAGCTATAACCCGGCTCGGTTCTTAATCTCTCCTCTGAGAGGGGGCAGTGACGGCGCATCCTTCGTGGCCGCACTGTAAGCGCCTGACCGTGGGGCAGTGTGGAGCCCAGATACTGGCCTCGGGGTTCAGCTGGGCCGTCACGAAACCAGCTCTGCCGGAGCAGAGGCGATGGGGCTGCGGTACCGACACACGCCTCGGCTGCTTGTTGAGTGAGGAGAGGGGTCGGTAGTGTCCCCCGTGATCCCAGGTGTCTGTGTGCAGGTGATGCAAAAGAATGTTTGCTGAGACGTGGTGATGCCATTTTAAAGCACCGAGATCGCTGACGCACCTACGCCCTTCTGAGTGGCCCTGAACACGAACTGGACGGGGAGTTTGAGCCTCACAGTGTTGCCCTTTACTTCTCAGGACAGGACATCCAGCCCAAAAGGGACCTTACCCGCTTTGTCAAATGGCCCCGCTACATCCGCCTGCAGCGGCAAAGGGCCATCCTCTATAAGCGGCTGAAAGTGCCTCCCGCCATTAACCAGTTCACCCAGGCCTTGGACCGCCAAACAGGTGAGGTTCTGTGGCAGAAGCGCAACGTGGGCGAGGGATTTCTTGGGCACGGTCGCCACCTTTACTTGGACACCGGCAGAGCTGAGGCCCGTAAAGGGGCAGGGGTATCTTCAGTGCGTTAGTTTATTAAAACTTAGGATCCTTTGTCTAGTTTCCGGAACGTGATATACTGAAGAGATAACGTATACGACCTGAGATCTCTTGAAGTGCACTTGTGTTCAGGACAGTGACCTAGCATTCGTACGGTTAAGTGATGTAATGTTTTAAACTCTCGACCTGAACTGGCGGTCTTTTTTCCAGCTACTCAACTGCTCAAGCTGGCCCACAAGTACAGACCAGAGACAAAGCAAGTGAAGAAGCAGCGGTTGCTGGCCCGAGCTGAGAAGAAAGCTGCAGGCAAAGGGGATGTCCCCACCAAGAGGCCACCTGTCCTCCGAGCAGGTGAGTGGCCCCGCCTTGAAGAGGCTGAATGGTGGGGCAGGCTGCTGGCGATGATGCATGAACTTCTTCACCTGGAATCGCTGTGAAGAGTAAAATTCGAGCTTTTTAACCCTGAGTCATGGCGGGGCCCCGGGGCAAGTGCTGTTGTGCCCAGAAGCCCCACCCCGCTGCCACACAGATTGCTTGTATGTTCTAGGGGTTAATACTGTCACCACCTTGGTGGAGAACAAGAAGGCTCAGCTGGTGGTAATCGCACATGACGTGGATCCCATCGAGGTACGGGTGACCTGTTCTCAAGCGCTGACTGCTGGACTGAGATTGGTGGGGTCCTTGTTTGTACCAGGAAGACAGCTCAAAGCTAAATACTCGGTCTGGCAGAGGCCCTGGCAGGGTGGGGAGCACTGTCAGCTTTCCGTCTAAGGAGTCCTGACAGGGGAGCCATCTCGTGGCTATTGCAATGATGTGACACTCTCACTGAATCAAACCTTGAAGTACAAGTGTAGGAGCTTTTTAACCCTGAGCAATTGCTACCACGTTAGCTTTTAAGTTACTGCTTTTGCTCAAGGTACTCTCTAGAGCTAATGCTGTCTTCCAGCTGGTGGTTTTCCTGCCTGCCCTGTGCCGTAAGATGGGGGTTCCCTACTGCATCATCAAGGGCAAGGCCCGGCTGGGACGTTTGGTCCACAGGAAGACCTGCACCACAGTGGCCTTCACACAAGTCAACTCGTAAGTGTGCAGTGTAGCCCAGAATTCCCAAGAATCACTAGGGGACAGCCTTCCCCCACCCCCAAGTTTGCTTAATTTCTCGGGATCTTAGCTTAAAGACCAACCTTAAAATAGTTTTTTCGGGCTTCCCTGGTGGCGCAGTGGTTGTGAGTCCGCCTGCCGATGCAGGGGACGCGGGTTCGTGCCCCGGTCCGGGAAGATCCCACATGCCGTGGAGCGGCTGGGCCCGTGAGCCATGGCCGCTGAGCCCGCGCGTCCAGAGCCTGTGCTCCGCAACGGGAGAGGCCACAAGAGTGAGAGGCCCACGTACCCCAAAAAAAAAAAAAAAAAAAAAAAAGAATACTGTTTTCTGAACCTTTGCCGATGATGGTTATGAATTTCTTCACCTGAATAAACCATGTTGTCATGTTGTCATCTGAGGCAGAAGGTTTGTGTTGGAGCTAAAAAGGAAGTCGCTGATGCTTTCTGGAAGGGTAACTGAGAGGCCAGTGACTCCCATTTTCCCCTCTGCCTTGTTAGGGAAGACAAAGGTGCTCTGGCTAAGCTGGTGGAAGCCATCAGGACCAATTACAACGACAGATATGACGAGGTAGGTGGCACACTCACACAGAACACTGTCTTCTGGTAAGCTGCGTCTTTAGTCAGAACTGCCTGGCTCTCGGCTCTTTCTGAGCAGTTGTATTTGCCAGTCAACTTGGAACAACCCAGTAGAAGTGCGTGAAATGACCCGCCAAGCTGACTGCCTGTCTTCTTGTTACAGATCCGCCGTCACTGGGGAGGCAACATCCTGGGTCCCAAATCAGTGGCTCGCATCGCCAAGCTGGAAAAGGCAAAGGCCAAAGAACTGGCCACCAAACTGGGCTAAGCGTACACTATTGATTTTTCTGTACATAAAAATAATAATAATAAAAAAACCCTTCTTCTTCAGCCAGTGTTGGGCATTTTGAGCTAAGAGGTTGGGACAGTGGCAAGTGAACCCTGCGTCCTTATCCCTCATAGGGCAGCACTTGTGTGTTGGTCCAGTTTTGAAAAGGCCAAGCAGTACTTGAATACGCTGAACCAAGCCCGGATCTTAGATGGACTAGTTCATTTGGGTGGAAGGAAGGCGCTACACATGCGATGTAGAGATTTATTTATACCAGTAACACGTCATCAGCCTAAAGTCGAGTCTCTTGAAATGGTTTCAGCTGTTCAGGGACAGGGCTACATCCGCCAGCCTTGTCACACACCAGGAGTCCGGCTTAGGAATTTCTTAAACCACAGGTAGGAGGTGGCCGCGCAGAGTCCGTACCTTAGGTTGAAAGAAAGTGAGCGCTGTCAGGGGCTGAAGGGAGGGTGGGGCGAGCAGGAGTGGGCGGAGCCCGGGCTTACCAGGTGATGATGTACTGCATGTGCTCGTTCCTCAGGGTCACTCTGGTCTGCCCTCCAATGGGTCCTCCAGGGACTGTGCTCTCTGCGGGGACAGTGGGCTGTGTCCTCACCGGGGCCTGTGCTACCAGCTGCTTGGCACTTAGTGGCCAGTCAGCCAGCCCCCCCATGTCGCCCTCCTCTTAGCGCCTGTCGAGCACACTCAGCGCTCCACCAACACGGGCGCTGGGGGAGCGCTGGGGCGGAAGTGCCGGGGAGCTGTCCAGGGTCAAGAGGAAGGTAGAACAGGGCCTGCTCACGACGTACTGAAGTCGGCATCTATGAAGATGGGCTCTGCGCCTGTGAGCCGGGCCATGGCCTCCAGGTCCCGGTAATGCCAGTGGTTCCTCGCGGGATTGTTCTCGGGAACAAAGGGCTTCCTGGTCTCCGACAGCCTCACCATCCCGACTAGGTCCACTTCTCCCTCAACCTGCCCAGGAAGGTGTGAGATGCTCTGTGGGGCCCTGCATGGAGCCTGGATTGGTTCCTACAGGGGGACGGGTTCACGCCCCTTACCTGGCCTTTGCGCCGTGTATCTGGATTCATTTTCTTCCTGGGCACAAACCCTCTATTTACCAGGATGGTGACTCTGGAGGAGTAAGAGCGCGCTGTTTGAGGTCGGGGACGGTTTTTGAATAAAGGTGGTCACTAACGGTCACTCTGGCGCCTCCCTCCCGGACCACAGCACGGTAAGGGTTTAAGGGTCACTAGCGCTAGCTGGAGGGGGGAGGGGGTGCCCGGCCCCGAGTGCTGTAGGTTCGCGGCCTCCGCACCACTGTCGCCAGCAGCAGCGGCCTCTGCTTGCTTGTGCTTCACCTGCTGCACCGCAGCCAACGACCAGCACCGCCCCGCCGCCTCCAACTACTGCCTCGCGTGTCTGCCCACAATCTCCCATCCTAACCAGGGGAGTCCCCGAGCCGCAGCGTTGGGGCCCATCCCAGATCTAAAACCAGAAAGCTGGGGGCTGACAAGGGACCTGGGGTTTCATTTGTATGTTACCATTGGGAAGCTGCTCTACTTACCGGCCTTGCACTTGCAGAGCCCCCAACGTGTACATGTCACCTCCTTCCCCTGGGATACTCCGCCCATCTCCTCGCTCACTATTTGACCCGAAGAGCCCCCGGGAAGCCTTCCTCGAGTCGACTCCCTCCCTGCAGGGCTGGGGGTTCCTTTCTCTTGAGTTGCTCTGCTGGCCCCTCAGGCTGCACCCTAAGCACTAAACGTGTGGGCCACTCACGGACGGTTTCTCCAGAGGCCTGTTTCGTTCACCTCTCCTTCCTTCAGAGCTCAACAGGCAGGCGTTGTTCAGTAAGAAGTTAATTGGCTTAATAATGTCAGAATTACACATTTCAAACTCCCAAGCAGTCGAGCTTATCTGGGTTTCTTGGATTCCCCAGGGCTGGGGGCTGAGAAGGAAGGAGGTGGGAAGGACCGCATCTGCCGGGCCGGTCAGCTGCCCCGCGTCCCACTCACCCCAGGGCAGTGCAGTGGAAGGGAGTGACCACGTAGGCACCACTCTCAGCCGCCGACGAGAGCCGGCCGGCCTCCCGGGCCTCCCGGGCCGGGTCCACCATGGTCCGGGGCATCATGTACAGCTCTTTGGAGTGGTCAAAGTGCCCCCTGACCTTCACCGGCCGGTACTCCAGTTTCTGCAGTTCCATCGGGCTACAAGAGAGGGGAGGAGCTGAGACCAAGCCAGGTTTGGCAGGAAGACAAACCCTCTCAAGGGTCTGCAAACCACGAAGCCCACCGTGGCCTGAGAAGCAATGTAGAAGGGGACACACCGCCACGGTGGGGTCTGCGTGATGCGCCCTCCAAAGGGGGAAGCTGATCCCTTTGATGCCACATGGGAACGTGGATCTGTGCTGCCCAACAGTCCATGTTTTCAAGAAAAGCTTAAAGCTGTGGCCTCCTGTGTGAACACGATAAAATACGTGGGCCAAAACCGTCTTCTGCAAGCCGAACGTGACCCACTTGTTTGCTCCTCTGTCTGGAAAGCTTTGTGATTTTAGCTGGCACTCTTAGGACAGTGCCTTTTCTTTGGCTGTGCCGCACAGCTTGTGGGATCTCAGTTCCCCGACCAGGGATGGAACCAGGGCCCCCTGCGGTGGAGGCCTGGGGTTCTAACCACTGGACCACCAGGGAATTCCTAGGACAGTGCTTTTAAATGAGGGGAGAAAGCAGTCGAATGCCTGCGCATTTTCTCACAGTACCATTCTCATGTCCAGACGTGACATGCGCGTGCCCTCCCCTCCAGCTAAGAATTACTGCTGCAGAAAGCCGTCAGCACTGTGGGGGGGTCCCTCAGCTACACTGGGCCTGGAAAAGGCACGAAACTCAGGTTCAAAGATCTGTGTCTGTATGACAGGCAGCTTCACGAGGGCAGTCGGGCGTCAACAGGAAGCCTAGCAGGACCCCTGATTTTGAGGGCTCCCATCAGGGCCGGGAAGGGTGGCAGCAGCCAGGCCCCACTGCTGACCTCACCTGAGCCCCAGCCCCGGGGGGGGGGCGGCCTCACACACTCACTCTGCGGGCAGCGGGATGGGCTCGGCCATAACTCTAGACTCTAGTTCTGCGATGAGCTGTAGCTTCCACTTCCGGCGCTGGACCTGCGGACACAGGGCATAAGCCTGAGCAGATGGCAGCAGAGTCAAGGGCTCAGAGCCAGGAGCGCGAGAAGCCAGGCTTTACCTGCCACGTCCCCAGGCCAAAGGCAGTCACAGGTATGAGAAGCAGAAACCACTGGAGGAAGGAGTCGTCTTCCGTTTTTGCAGCAGTTGCTTCGGCTGAAGAGCTGCCACACCTGCTGGGCCTCCAGACCAACCCTAGTAGATGTCACAACATGGGCATGGGGCCGGAAGCCCTGGAACAAAGAACTGGAGCAGACAACTCCTTGAAGCTGCCATGACTACCGGAGAGAACGTGATGCAGAAGAGGGCCCAGGCCACCACGTGCAGTCGGGAGCCCAGCACATGCGTCCAGCCCAGCTCCTAACCCAGTGCCCAGCGCATGACACCCACTCAGTGGACATTCACCCACCGAATGAGATCCAGGGCTTCGTCCTGGCTCTGCCACCAACCATGACCCTGGGTAATTCATGGAACCACCTCACGCCTTTTGTGCAAGAATATGCTGAGATGTATCCTGTCATGAAGGTGCACGGGTACAGGCTACTGTGCTCTGCAGACTGAATGTGATACACTCTGGAGAGTGGTTTACAGAACTCAGAACAGCTGTTCTTTTTCATCGTTCGTAAATTTAAAGTTGGCAGAACAAACACAGGAAGTACATTTAGGCTCTCAGAGGGTGAGTCCCATCAACGGAAAGCATTACGGGTCTGGAGGATGGTGAAAAGGCAGGCCTGGAGCAGGCTTGCAACGTGCCCTTGCAGTGTGCACAGCACTCTACAGACAAGTACCCTTTGCTGTGCCTTGGAGGCAACATGCAAACCGTGGTGATTAGCTAGGCTTTCCTTTAGGAGCCCACACAGTTTCCGTCCTGGGTTGGCCCCGCATCAGCCCGAGGAGCCGTGGGGCGGTTATGGCACGTCTCGGGACGAGCGTGTCGGGCGGCAGCGCGGACGACAGCGCCCGCCAGAGCCCGCGCGCACCCAGGGCCCGACTCAGAGGCTCGGGCGGCAGTTCCAGGGCTTATCGTGACGCCACGCGCCCCGGCAAAGCGGAGGCACGGACAGACGGGGCGGCTTTCCCGGATGCCGAGGGCATCCCTGGACGAGGCCTCACCTGGGCGCGAGATGACCCCAAGGGCGCTCCTCCGGACGGCGCGGGCCGGGGCCTGCGGAGACGCAAGGGGCCGGCTGAGCTCGTTCAGTCCGGTCGCGCGCCCCCAGCCCGGCCACCCCGCTCCGCTCACCGGCCCCGTGCGCGCCGCCCGCAGCAGCGACCCCAGCCCCGCCGCTCGCAGCCCCAGCCCCCTCGCCGCCGCCATCGCCCCGCCCGGGCGCGCGCTTCCGGGATCTGGAGGCGTCTGCTTCCGGGGCGCCGCCCGGCCCCGCCCCGGCCCACGTGGTTCGAGCGACGTTCGGCCTCCAGCTCCGCGCGCGCCGAGCCATGATCGAGCCGCCGGCCGACGTATGCGCCTTCCTGCGGGAGCATCCGAGCCTGCGGCTGGAGCCCGGCGCCCGCAAGGTGGGCGGGCAGCACAGGACCCCGCGCGACGGGCCCCGGGTCCCCAGACCGCCCAGACCCCCTGACCGCCCCGCCTTCCCGCCCGCAGGTGAGGTGCGCTCTGACAGGCCACGAGCTGCCCTGCCGCCTGCCGGAGCTCCAGGTCTACACCCGCGGCAAGAAGTACCGGCGGCTGGTCCGCGCCTCCCCGGCCTTCGACTACGCCGAGTTCGAGCCACACATTGTGCCCAGCACCAAGAACACGTACGTGGCTGGGCCGGGCCGAGGCGGGCCCGGCACTGCCCGGGAGGCCTAGGGTGGGACAGTTCCTAGTGCTGAGTCTGGCCGGAGCTGGGTAGACTCCAAAGCCCCGACCCCTCCCCGCTGGGTGAGCGCTCCTCAAAGACGCGGCCTGTTCTGCAGCGCGCACCCTCCCGTGAGATAGGAGACCTGAGATCCAGGTGGGCGTCCTGGAGCTGTGAGTCACCTGGGATCTCCAGTGAGGCCCGTCCCCCGTGCGTGTTTGCTTTTTTGTAAACGTGAGGTCTGTCACCTGGGCCTGTCTGCTTCAAGAGGATTGGAGCGCTTGTGCGTGGTCTCCTTTAGTTTAAAGGAGAGCTTTGATTTAGCTGAGAGCGCACGGTTGACAATAGTAGTCAAAACGAAGAGGGGCATGGCAGACGCTCCCACTGTCGAGCACTTTGCCAGGCTTTCGCCGACGTGCCTCTCTCGTGCTGGAGCAGAGTCCGGCGAGGCTGGTGAGGCCTGTTTTCCAGGTAGACGGTGAGAGGCCGCAGTCCGCCTGGATGAGTGCTTCTCCAACCCGGCTGCGGACTGCAGTTGCTTGGGAGCTTCTAAGAATCCTGATGCCCCAGCCACGTGGTAGACCTCCCCTGTCAGTCTGTCTGGGGGAGGCCAGGGTGGAGAACCCTGGGTCTGGATCCTTGCTTGTGAACTGTCCCCTTAGGCACCAGCTGTTCTGCAAACTCACCCTGCGGCACATCAACAAGTCCCCGGAGCACGTGCTGAGGCACACCCAGGGCCGGCGGTACCAGAGGGCGCTGCAGAAATGTAAGTAGCCAAGGCGGGACGTGGGTGTCTGGGTGCTTGCCTGCCCTCCCCCAGGACCAGCGCCCCTAGAATGCAGAAGCGGCAACCCGGGCATCCTTTGGTGGTACTTGGTGGATGCAGTGGTTCGGGTCCCAGTACAGTGAGGAGAGAGGGACGACGGTAGAGACGGTGCAGAGCCAGAGGCAGACTCCGAAGTGATGCAGGTTGTGTTAAGTGCTGTGAAGAAGACGGTGTCAAGCGAGGCAGGTGGACCTGTCTTAACGCAGGAGGTTCTCGGAGGGTTTCTCTTTAGACTGAGACTTGAGGGACTGCGGGGGGTGGGGGCGGGGAGGTGGGGAGAGTGCTTCGCTTGGCTAGGGGGTTGTCTGGAGGACGGCCATTGTGCCACCAGGCAAGGTGGGGTTAGAAAGGCGGGTGGGGACGAGACCACAGTGGGTCTTGGCAGCCGTGGAGTGGGGATGCCCTGGAAGGGTTAAAGCAGGGACTGGCCTGATCTGTTTGTGTCTCAGGATCACATGTTGCTGCCAGGGGAGAGGGGAGGGGAGGGGCCACCCGGTTGCTGTGCAGTCACCCAGGTGAAGATGCCGGTGGCTGGGGTCACCAGGTGTTGGCAGGGCAGATGGAAGGATGTGGGAGGTTTCTAAGGGTTTTGTGGATAGAATCAGCGGACGGGGGCAGTGAGGGAGAGGGGGAAACCGGCTGTGCTTCCCAGGGTCCTGGTGTGACAACTGGTGGCTGCTGACGTCACGAAGGTGGGAGAGTGGAGTCTGAAGAATGGCTTTCTGGGGAAGAGCACAGGTCCCTTCGCACGTTACAAGTGGAGGTGGATCAGGGAGGGTGGCTGTTGAGAACACGGACCAGCCCTCAGATGATGCAGATCAGCGACACAGACACGGCGTCTGCATCCCGTGGAGCTGGGTGACAGGCCCGGGCCTGAGCTCAGAGGAGCCCCGTGCGGTCGTGTCTGAGGCAGAGAGGAGTCTCAGGGACGCAGCGGTAGCCTCGTCAGACGGCCCCGAAGGGCAGGTGCGAACGGAAGAGTGAGCCGAGATCTGACAGAGGCAGCTGAGGTGGCGAGGTGGGGACAGAGCCAGGCTGGAGCGGGCCAGGAGGCCTGAGCCTCCCCGCGAGCGAGCGAGGCGGGGGCAGGGGGAGCGGCTGGGCAGGCCTGGGGACGGGAAGGAAGGTGAAGGAGGACGAGCCCGAAGGCCTTGCTTCCCAGTGAAGAGATGAGGCTGTGAGCGCGGCGCTGAGGGGCCTGCGGAGGCAGGACACGGGGTCCCCGGGCACCTTGCTTCCCACAGCCGCGCTCAGCTGCTCGGCGAGGCGGGAAGGGGCTGCGTTTCCCCACGAGTAGGGAGCGGTTCCGATGCCGGGCCGGGGCGCCTGGCCACGCGCAGGTTCCGCTCTGCTGGTGACGGGGCCGCTGTGCGGCCGTGGAGGGGGCGGCAGAGGGGCAGCCGGGGATGGGGCCCTGCAGGTGGGCGGTGACGAGAGAGCCGGGGCCCAGCAGGGCTCGTCCACCCCGTGAGTGACGATGGCCGGAGTTGGGGGACAGTGAGGGCCGACGGAGGACGAGCTCCAGCAGCCGGCTGCCCCGAGTCCTCGGTGCAGGGGGGCCGGTGTGGCTGCAGCGAGGCTTCTCCGTGAGGCCTCGTCCCCGCCCTCTGCTCTGAGCCAAGGGTCGGCAAGGGCCAGGCACCAACTTGCGCTGAGCCCCGCCATCCAGCGGGGGTCCTGGCCGCTGTGCCTGAGGGGACTTCCATCTCCGGGGGACAGGCTGGCCCGGCTTCCTGTGCCCGCTCAGCGCCCTCCCAGCCGTGGCCGGCTGGAGCCAGAGAACAGATGCTCCAGGCGCGTCCTAGTCGGGGAGGAGAGGAGAGGGAGGCCTTCGCCACCCTCCTGCCCCGGGCCCGCGTCCCCACGCGCCCCCCTGCTCTCCCGAAAGGAACCCGGCTGGCGGCGCTCACCTTCCTCTGCTGATCTTACCTGTGGGGGGAGGGTTCGGGGGGCCCTGGCGGAGCTCAGCTCTGTTCCCCGAGGGCTGTGGGGAGACGAGGCGGGAACCGGGCAGCGTGCGCATCTGTCTCCCAGACGAGGAGTGCCAGAAGCAGCGCGTGGAGTTCGTGCCCGCCTGTGCCGGCGGCAGGCGTGGGAGGAGGGGAGCCCGGCAGGACAGTGGCGGGCCACCCCGCCCTAGAGCAGCCTTCTGGGAACCCCCGTCCAGCGATGACGGCGCCGCCCCAAGTGACAGTGACGACAGCATGACAGACCTGTACCCACGTAAGCCGGGACGCGCCCCCCTCCCTGCCCATCCTCTGGATTCGGGCTGCGACCGCCCGCTCCGTTTCTGTCAGCCGTGAGCAGCTCCCTCCCGCCGTGTGTCCTCCAGTCCTGGGCCCGGCTGACCCCCGACACGGGTGGTGGACTCGACCTAAAACGGCCCAAACCTCTGCTCCTTCCAGCCGAGCTGTTCACCAAAAAGGACCTGGGAGGGACCGAGCATGGGGACAGCACCGACGACTTTCTGACAGGGGATGAGGACGAGAAGCCAAGACGCCGCAGAGAGACGGGCCCTGGGGACAGCGAGGCCGCGGGCCGGGAGCGGGTCCCCAAGCGCGGGAAGGTGGGGTGCCACCCCCAGGGCTGCCGGCGTGGCAGCGGCTTCTTCTAGCTATGGTTTCAGCTTCTTTAAAAAAAACACCTTTCTCACAACCGAAATCTCAAGCTAACGCTACGTTAAGATAAGCGCCGAGGCTGCTCTAATGGGGGCGGGGGTCTGCTTCCTGGGTGGCTGCCCAGGAGTTTCCACTAAAGCCTCTTCCTGTCTGCGGGCCGGGATTGCGGGGGCCGGGCTTACAGCACCCCTGCATCAGATCAGAACGCCTCCACTGATCGGGATTCTCTGTTTGTGCCGCAGAAGCAGTCCGGCTCGTTGAGAAAGAAGTCCAAGAGTCATCACCGCAAACCTAAGAGCTTCAGCTCTTTCAAACAGTCAGGTTAATGGAAAGTCGCTGGAGAAAACGCATCTTGAGAGCCTTTCGAGAACCCTCCCGGCATGCACGCCATGTTCCTCTTCGAGGTGCCCGCCGTGCGTCCTCCCAACTGGTGGGATGTCCATCCACTCCTCGTTTGCTGCCCCAGAAGGCCGGGCCGGGGGGTCTGACCCGCGGATGTCAGGGTCTCACCCCCACCCCCAGGAAGCAGCAGGGACCCCGGAGGGGGCACCGAGGAGAGCCCTGGCCAGTCCCCACCTGGCTGGACGACACCAGAGGATCACACTGCATACAACAAATGCCACTATTTATTTTGACGTGTCTCCAAAAATCAAAATGTTTTCAAACACAACTAAGATATAAAATACAGCATAAAATGAGATTCATAACTATCTCCCCCATAAAGCAAAAAATTTTTCAGAAATCGTTGCGCCAGAACCAGTTGGTAGATCCTGTTTTTCTCTTCTCCCCGAGTAGGCATCGACCCCCGGCCGGAGCACGAGCCCACGCAGGGCCAGGGGAGGCGGGACTGGTGGCCACGACGCCACCTGGCCACCAGGGTCAATCTCAGTTTTTACAAACCAGAAAGGTCTTCCTAGCAGGGAGCCGAAGAAGACCCGTACCCTGCCAAAAACAGTGTCACGGAGCAACTGCGACCTGGCCGAGAGCGCCGTTCATCAGGGCCATCATGCTGGGGTAACGGGGAGGGGGGTGTAGATCAAGACGCCACCCTGCCCAGGTTGCGCACTGAGTCAGAACACCCCCTTGGTGTGGGAGCATCCCAGTGACTGAAGTAGAAAAGCCTCTGAACTTATAAATACTCGGGGAGTAGGGCCACCGGGGGAGGGATTGGGAGCGTCTTGGGTTGAGCCTCTGCAGTGGCGGGGACACAGGAGGGTGCTGGAAAGGCGCTAAGCGCACTGGTGGGTAAGAGCCGGCCTCCCCCCTGCCCTGGGAAGCTGACCAGGGGCTTCGCTGGGGCGGGGCGGGTTGCTCCCCACCTCACCCTGGCTCTGGCCTGGAAGGTAGACGTGGATCTGGGTTCAGGACTGGCCCCAGCAGCCCTGGGGAGGCCCTCAGGCTGGCACCCCTAGCTGAGCGAACCGGAGAAGGTGAGATCGGCCCCAAGGCAAGGCTTGCGAGAGGCCTCCAAGGAGGGGAGTTCGCCAGCCTCACCGTGTCGGTCTGACCCTGACTCCCCGTGGGAGGCACAGAGGCATCGCTAGGAGGCGGACGAGTGGAGAACAGCAAGAAGCACTCACAGCCCCAGGAAGAGAAACAGTATAAGGCAATGTTAGGAAACTTGAAATACAGGCTCGAGATCCAATCGGTAAGGCATCACAAATCGTAAAAAGTACTTTGGGCTGCATTCAGCGTAGCGAATGGACAGTCTGAGCAAGCCGCAGCCTCGTGAAGGTGGGGAGTGGTGGCCGCATGGCCTGGGGAGCCCCGGGAGGGGGGAGACAGCAGGCAGCGCCGGCCTGGCTCTGGCTGTGGCCCTGGGGCAGCTCAGTGTGAGGTAACCGGTCTGAGCACCCCGCTCTGGCCCGGCCCCGCGGTGGCAGCTGGCCCCCACCGAGCTGGCCACGCATGCGGCTGAGGCCCGCGTGCTGCCGGGCCCGGGGGGCGGGTTCCTGCGGGCTCCGGGCAGCCTCCCCGTGGGCCACCGTCCGCACCTTGAGCCACTACCGCTCCCAGGGCGTCGCCCCATAAAAACGGCACCGATCCGAGTCGAGGCCCTGGTGAACGCCTCTCACCGCACCTTCGCTGCCCCTCCAGCGCTGCCTTACGCTTTGGGTCTGGGGTTCTCTACATGCTCTCGCTGTCCCTATAAAGCATCACAACGCAGGGCAGAAACGACGGGGAAGGCACTGGTGCGAGTCGGAACCAGTGTGTTGATGCTGGGCGGGGCCACCCCAAATCATCGAGTAGTTTTAGCTAAAAACGTAAACTTTAAAAAAAAATAAAGAGGGAGACTGCTTTGAATGATACACAAATGTATCTGCTCACAGTACAGCTTGAAGGTCCCCCACCCCAAAGAAGAACCGAAAGAAAACCAGGACCGAGAGGCCACAGCCAAGCAAGCTGCTCACTCCACGGAGCCGCGGCCGGCCTTGGGGAGGGAGGTGCTGACCACGGGCCGGCCGGCTCCGCACGGTCAGACACCAGGTGGTGGGGTCCAGAGCAGATTTAGCCATCAATTATCAGGTGTCCGCAAATAAAGTTCTCAAAACATCTGTGCCTTTACCAAGGGAGGGGAGGGGAGAGGATACAGAAATGCTGGCAGTTATGGCGAATCCACCCTGAACCAGTCCTCGACGGCCACGGGTCCCAGCCAGGCGGGGAGGGGTCTGTTACCACTCTTTCTTCTTCTCGTCCATGGACACGCCCCCGGGGCCCAGGGCCACCACCAGGAGCAAGCCTCCGATCACCGACATGGTCTGGAAGAAGTCGTACTTGAGGAAGTCGTGCATGGGCTTGTAGACGGGAATGGTCCAGAAAGCGTTGAAATACACGTTGATGGCAAACAGCCACACGACGAGAGTCAAAGCGGCCAGCTTGGTTTTAAAGCCGATGGCCACCAAAATCATCAGAGCCGTGCCCACGATGTTCTGGAGAATCTGCACGGGTTGGAAGGTAAGCAATGGAAATACACAGGCAGGTTCCAGCTGCCCGTGGGCCAGGGTGGAGTGACTCAGGGCGTGCCGAGAGCCGGCATTACAAGCAGGGAAGAAAATCATGTCTCCTGCGATGGGGGCAGCAGCGAAAGCAACGCTTTGAAAATTGAGAAAGGCTTGGGGAATGGTAGGTCTCCAAAGAACAGGCTGGGATTTACCGGGACCTGCCCCAGTCTGAGCCCGGTGGACCTGTCAGTCACAACCACAGTCCCCGGCGCTGCTTAGAGCCAAACGCTCCCCCCCTCCCCAGCACCAGGAGCCCCTCCTGGGGACCCCGCCCAGCCGGGGCCCCCCAGCTCTGTAAGCTACTGGGGGACAAGGACAAAGCCTTCGACTCTGCAGCCCCAACAAAAAGGACACGATAAAGGCAGGAGTGTGAGAAAGGAAAGAGAAACAGGAGCCTGTGCCAGGAACCTTCGCAAGCAGCCTGCACGGACCCTTCAGCGAGGTCAGGGAGATGCGGGACCTAATCTGTTGGAAAGGCAGCTTCTTGGTGCGTAAGAGCTTGGCAGCGCTGTTTCCTTTAACAGGATCATCCCGATGGCCCCTCAGCTATGCTTAGTGCACAGCTGGGAAGAGGGGGCAGCACCCCTTCTAGAAGGACAGGGACCCGACAGGAACACTTACCGAGAAGAAGCTGGCGTCGAAGTGCAGGAGGGTCATGAACATCAGGACCAGCAAGACCCGGCCTCCGAGCTGCATGTACTGTCTGGGGGAGCTCTCGCGCACGGTGGGGACGCCCGCGAACATGCTCTTCCCTTCGGAACGGGACTCCGCCAGGAGAAGCAACAAGCCTCCTCCCAGGGCCAGGTTCCTGAGGAACGGACACGCCACGCTAGTCGCTCAGGCTCATCAGGCTCTGTGAGCGCCCGGCGGACCACATCGGGAGACCCCGGCAGGAGCAGGGACTCCGGTGACACCCACGGACAGGGAAGCCCCACGCGACCGGAGACACGGATGCCTCCGCGCCACCCTCGGGATGGCCTGGCCTGGGCTCTCCTGCTGACCAGCTGGGTCCCTGGGAGCCAGTACTTCACTTGGGCCCTCGTTGCCCTCATGAGATACGGGGTCGGGAGGGATGACCTCATTCTCACCTCTGTCCTGGGGGCTGTGGGTGGGGAAGGAAAAGGCTTCACCAACGTCCGCTACAGATTCTAAGAAGCATGGTTTGGACCCAAAGAAACTTACTTCAGCCAACAGTTACTGAGTTTAGAAACGCGAGGAAAGTGCACGAAGTCGCCAGCCAGAAGGCACCTACCTCATGAGAAACTTCAAGTCCCATAAAATGCTGTAGGCAATCGTCTAAGGAGAACAGAGAAGAGAGAGAAACTTGAGTCTCAGCATTTTCAGACAGATCTGTATTTCTACAGAATGAACAGCGCCAGGCAGTTCTTCCAGCGTAGGTGAGAATCTAAATACAAGACGCACAGAACCCTCTCAGGACCCCGACGGCCCCAAGCTCAGCGTCTCGGGGCAGCGGTGGCCCCGGATCCAGCAAGCCCTTGCCTCCTCAGGGCGGGGCCCAGGACATTCTGGAGAACGCAGCGGCTCTGAGACGCCAGTCTGCAGTCGATGTGTGTGACACATCTCACGTGAGTAGCTAGGTGCTCTTCTTTATGAAGTAAGACGCTAACAACACAGTGCCCTGGCTGCAGCCGACCCCGTGACTTGTCCCCTTGTCACAGGGAACTCAGGAAAGTGGCAAAAGGAGGATGCCCGGAGTTCGGCCCCTTCCCAGGGCGCTCGGCTGTCTGGCTCTCCTGAGTTTCCACGGCTGGCGTGGAGGAAAATCCAGCAATTTCTCAGAAGAGAAAAGGAGTTCCAGGCAGACACACAGAGGGCCGAGAGGGGAGTGAGCCTGAGTCCTCACAAATGCCTTTCGCCAGCAGCTCTGCTCTAACCAGAGCGAGAGTGAGACCCCAGCCGCGTGCCGTTTACCTGCAGCGCGATGATGCCGAAGAGCCCGAAGCAGGCGTACTGCACGAAGTTCCTGCTCAGCACCAGGATGCAGCCGGCTGCAGAGGAGAAGGGCGAGGCTCAGGGGACCGCGGCCACTCACCCGGCCCTCCGCGCAGCGGCAGCCCAACTGCCCACCCCCAAGCAAAAAGCATCTTCTGGGAGGGTCATGGTAGGCACGGGCCACACACACGCGTCCACTGGTCTTTACTCATCAAAAACACTGGTCCAGAAAGTGGGTCCCTTGCTTACAGTCAGTCACTGTCCATCAGAAAGAAGCTCAACTGTGGGGCTTCGGGACAGGCTGGCAAGTGCAAGTCCCGTCCTTGCCCCCTAACGTGCGAGAGGGAGCGCTGCCGCCGCAAGACGGCCAGCAGGGGCGGAAGGCAGACCCGAGGCCGACGCAGCTGCACTGGTGTCTGATGCGCCCCCTTCTCTGTTTACCTGTTGATCCTTTCCAGACACCCTGGGTCTGGGGTGCCTCAGCTCCTCGCTGGCCCACCCAGGTGCCCCCATCTCCAGCACCTCCCGCTCTGGGCACTGATCACAGGGCCTCAAAGCAACGCAGCCAGGACCCAACACAGAGCACGCACCCGCGCGCCGGCAGGCCCAACTGCCGGGCCCGGGCTGCTGGCCTGGCGTGAGGAGCTGCAGACACACAGGCCCCCGAGCGCCGGCGCCACTCACTCAGCTGTCCGAGCAGGTTGAGGAACACGAAGGAGGAGGCCAGCAGGTAGCCGCAGCTCCAGGTGGTGTCGATGTAGTCCCGCTGCTCGCTCCACTGGA